CTGCCTCAGACGATGCGCATGGAACTATGGGACTTATGGCCCTGCTGGATTTTGGAGTTGCTTTGGTCCAATTCCTTTGTATTCCACTATTTGTAACTTTTGGAATAGAAATGTCTATCCTACGCCATTGAATGTTGGAAGTGTTTAACTTTCTTTTCATTTGTACAGAGGCTTGCATCTAAGAGTTTGCTTTAAATCTCAGAGGAGACGACTTTTCAGCATGCTGAAACTGTTAGGACTTCCACAACTCGTAGAGATGGACTAAATCCCTTTTGTGTAAAGGAATGTACATAAGTCTTTGGGGGGCCAGAGGCAGAATGTTATGGTTTGGGTCTAGATTTCCTCCAAATCCTCATGGGGTCATAGGCTTGATCTAGAATGTGTGAAGCTGGAATTGATTCACGATGCAATGCGAGGCTCCAGGACACAAGGGTTAAAGGTGTGAGTGCTGCCCACCCTAAGTAGTCTGGATAAAAGGGGGCAGGGAGACACTGTTAAGGTTCTCTTGTTACCTTTGCTGCCTTGTATGCACCATGTTGTTTCTCCTTTGTGATGCTTGTTTGCCATCCAAGCCTCGGAGCCAGCTGATTATGGACTGAAACCTCTACGCACTGTAAGCCAAATAAACCCCTTCCCTTTTAACTTTGGGTGTTGGGTATTTTGTCTCAGCAATGAGAGAAAATTAACTAACATGTCCCCTATTCCTCATTACCATCTTGCGTTTAAGTGGTAAAGATAGCATGATGAAGCAATAATGCACAGTAAGGCCTTTGCCTTCCCTCAGTGTTTTTTTTTTCTCTGTAAGGTGTTCTGTACCAGAAATGTAATCTTTGGGCTGTATCAAAATGTTCTGTGACTGTGCTGCAAATGTACCTGGTCAATATATCAAAAATGTTCTGTTCAAACAATGTTAACAGTTAGTACCTGAGTTTCTACCTGTTTCCTGGCTTCTAGCTATGACTCCAGCCTAAAAGATTCCTCTCAACTACCTTTCCCCAGCTGTATGTAAATGGACTCTCACTGCAACTCAGCACTCAGAATTTGGAGTGGGCAAACTCCTCTGAGCCAGCCAGCTAATAAAAGGTTTTTCTCCATCTCTTCAGTTTCAAAAAAAAAAAAAAAAGACACACACACACACACACAAAGTCTTACCTTCCAGGAACTGATGGCAAAAGTCTTGGGATTTTATTGAATGCAAGGCTTGTAGGTCATCCTGGTCAAGGTTGGTTGATGGGTGTCTCAGGACTGGTTCTATGAAGTCTGGGGACAGCTTTTGTCACCTGAGGGGATGATTCAGTTGCTATCATGAGATGATGGTGCCCACTTAGGGGCCAACTGTGGGTCCCATATGGGGTAACTGCTCCTACTCAGAGGGTGACTTCACCATGAGGGGCTCACAAAGCTCTGCTTTCTCTGGAATTGAAGGTGACTATAGGTTTAAGACAATGACTGGGGACTTGTAGGCATCACTCTAGGGGTCTGGGACTAGATGTTTGAAAAGTTGATCATTGGATATCTCTACAGATCCTGAAAATTACTGTAGTTGCTCTTATTTTGGTGTTCTCACTTGTGTGTGTGTGTGTGTGTGTGTACTCAGTCTTGTGATTAGATATACCAGGTACACTTAGGGCAAATGACCCTTGCAATATGGACACTCCCTCAGTGATGAACATGCCTACATGCAGCACTAAGCAGGGGTCTGAGCTGGGGTTGTAAGGTAATAAAGGAGACCAAAAACAAAGGCAGAGGCACCAAACTTCATTCTGCTTTTAATTACCTACAGAGGACCTGCAGGCCCAGCCTCTAGGTCCACATTACAAGACATGGAAGTTTCTGGAGGGTGGCTCCTAGGGTGCGCCTGGACCTGGGGCTCTTCCCTCATGTCTTGTACTTCTCACCAGTATCCTTTGCAATACTGTAACAAGGACTCAGGCTGCTCTGGCTACAAACATTCACTCTTCACTTGGGCCTGCAGATGCCCAGTTGGTAAGTAAAACTATGACAAAACCTTGGCTCCTTCACTTTCATTTTGTATCTGTCTGCTTTACTACTTTACAACTTTGGCAAGCCAGGGGTGGTGGCACACACCTGTAATCCCAGCACTCTGGGAGGCTGAGGCAGGAGGATCCCAAGTTTGAATCCAGTTTGGGCAACTTAGCAATTTAGCAAGACCCTGTCTCAAAATCTAAAAAAAATTTCAACTATGTAGCCAAGAGTGGCCTCAAACTGACAGCAGTCCTCCTGCCTCAGTGCTGGGAGTGAGTGCTGGGATCACAGGTGTGTGCTGCCACATCTGGCTCAAAATTAAAAATGTAAGAAAGTGCTGAGGATGTAGCTCAGTAGAAGCCCTTGGGTTCAATCTCCAGTACCACAAAACAAAACAACAAAAATCGAAACAAAACACTTTGGGTCAGCTTCTTGCATCTTTCGTGTTGTTTTGGTGCTGGGATTGAGGGGGAAGGGAGTCAATCCCACTACGCAAGAGCAAACATCGCATGATGGGGCTGAAATTGGCCCTCAAGAGGAGCCACACAGAACCAGATGAGAGATGATGTGCATCCAGATCATAGTTCGCCCAAGACTGCAAGACTGCTTAATCATGCATAGCTCTTGCCCGCTGCCCCTGCTCTTCCTGTTTAAATATGAAGTTCATGTAAATACCCACAAAGACAGGGTGAGGACATCTGGACCCCTGGCTTTCCAAGTGTAGCTTTTCTGCTTTTCCCCAGTTTTTCCTCTCTCTTTCTTTCCCCTCCCTTCCTACCTTGTTTTTCTTATTTTACAGTACTGATTATTAAGTCCAGGACCTTTTCACTAATATATATCTCCAGCTTTTAAAAAATTTTTTATTTTGAGATAGGAGCTCACTAAAGTTGCAAAATTGAACTTTTGATCCTCCTACCTCAGCCTCCCTCAGGCTAGCATTACAGGTGTGTACCGTTAGGGTAAACTGAGGCACAACGGAGACCTCAGAGTCAGATGAAGTTAAAGCAACAAGTGGAGTTTATTTCAGCCTAGGTGTAGGTGGGCCAAGGGCAAAAGCACTGTTGGCTCTAAGGGCAGGGCAAAAGGAGACGTTTACGGTGTGATTTGGGTAGGGGAGGGGAGGTTGTCGAGGGAGAGTGGAAATTTTTGAGACTCGAGAAGGGGGAGGTTGAGACTTGAGGAGGCGGTTTGTAGGGGTGCAGGATACTTTTGGTGGTTGCTGAGCATCTGGGCCTGCAGGTGTTACTGAGTGTGGGGCACATGTTTCTCTCCAACCTGTGTTTTGGCTTTTTGTTGTATAGTTCTTGTAGGTGTGACAAGGTCGGTATAAGGCTGCTGTGGCGCACGGCTGCTGTAAAATGTTTTTTCGGTTCTGCCTGGGCGGGGGACCTCACATGCACCACCATGCCTAGCTTGGCTGCATGTCTCCTCTCTCCTCTGTCTCATTCTGTCTGTCTAATTCTCACTGGGGAATCAACTCCAGGGCCTCAGCGCTGAGAGACTTCCTCCGTTCTCCCCACCCCCAGACATGGTTCTTGTCTCACTAAGTTGACCAGGCTGGGCTAGAACTTGTCCTTTTTCTTCAACCACCAAAGTATTGGGATTGCAGGTATGTGCCACCACACCCAGCAACCATCGTTTTTTGTTTTGTTTTGGGGGTAAGAGGGCTGACCTGGTATGTTGAGACTTTCTGAAGTCAGGTGCCCCTCTAGCATAGGACTCCAGCAACAGTATCCTCTACAATAATAAACCAGATGAGCCAGGGATTTAGCTCAGTGGTACTGTGCCTGCCTTGTAAGCGCAAGGTCCTGCATTCGATTCCTGGTACCCGTCCCCCCCCACCCAGTAAACTAAATAATAAACCAGTAAGTATAACTGAGCTCTGTGAGCCGCTTCAACAAATTTGTTGAACCCAATACAGGGGTTGTGGGAAACCTGATTTATAGCCAGTTGGTCAGAAGCGCTGGTAAAATAACCTAGGGCTTTAGATTGGCCTCTGAATTGTGAGTGTTGTGGGGATAGAGTTCTCAGCCTCTGGTGGCCTGACGTTACCTCCAGGTACAGTGCCAGAACTGAGCTGAGTCAGGGGCCACCTGGCTAGCACCACTGGGGCAACATGGCTTGCTTGGTATGTGTGTATGGGGGAAGTCCAATTGAAAGTGTAAGAGAAACTGAGTTTGAGCTCCATTTTCATCCCATATCTTCAAATCACTCTAGCTAGAGAGCTGGGCAGAATCACATTCTGCAAAATGACACAGAAGGCCAATGAACAATCTCTACCTCAACACTGACCTCAGGAGTATCTTTCCAGAACTAGACCTTTCATGCCATTCTGGTGTGTAGGCTAAACACTGGCAGATGCACACTGGTCTGAGTAACTCAGTTGTGCCCAGCTGGTGTCTCTCTGGCTTGTTTTGGTGTGCCTTCTGGTCCAGCCAACATGTAACAGTTGGGCTTTTGGTGCAACTACTGTGAAATAACATCCTACCTCCACCCTCAAGGAATGGGTCTAGAGTGGAGGAAGGTTGGAAATGATCTTCCTCCTTTCATAAAAAGCAACTCAAAATGAATTGTACCTGGATCCCCCTCTACTACCTGGAGGCTAAATCAGGAAAACACAGGGAGACTCCACCCTCTCCCCTCAAAAAACATACACCTAAACATAAAATGCAAAACTAGAAAACTAGAAGATAGCAAAATGTCTAGATGGCATTGGGTTTGGCAACGAGTTTTTAGACAGTGACAGTAAAGCATTCAAGAGCTACGTGGGACACCACATTTCTCTGGGACACCACATTTCTCTTAAATAGCAAGCCATGTGTCAAGGGATCTGCAGACAAAGGAGGCACACCAAGGCCCACAGACCTGGTGTCAAGGCCTGGAACTCACCAACAGCCCGAGACCGGGCTTCTCCCTGCCTGCATGCTTGCCACCAGATTCCCGGAAGGAGAAGTAATCAAGGCCCCAGGACTGTCCCAACATCTCTCAGTACCTTAACACATTGACACACGGTCTCTAATATTACAATCTTCATTTTATTTTGTTAGTTGATTAAAATGATAAATTCTGGCCAAGGATTTAGCTCAGTGGTTCCGCCGCCTGCCTCGCAAGTGCAAGGACCCCAGTTTGATCCCCGGTTCCAAAAAAAAAGATAAAATCTGCTTCCATTTACTTTATACTAGAGGAACTGATTGCTGCACTGAGTAAAATCACAGCTAAATGTCATTATAGATACCTAGTAATACTTGATTATTTTTGCCATAGAAGCACGAGAAAAGTTTAAAACGTAACTTCACTGGATTCAGCCTTGTCCAGGATACAGAACACAGTGCAGGGAAGAAGAACTGGCTGGGGGCTGAATTCCCAGTAGCTGCTTAGTGGCTGTGTCCCAGTCCTCGCCCAGCTCCAGTCGGTGGCAGATGGATGCATATCGCCTCTCCATTCTTCTGGCCCAGGCACTTGCTTTCTTCACTGCCTCACAGTCCCAGGGAATAACCCTAGAAGGGAAAAGTTAACTGTTTCTGCTGATTTCAGAATGTAAGCACAGGTGAAACGTAATGTGACAATCAGCTTATCACATTATGTCTAACAAAATAATGGTCAGAGATTAAGACAGTTAATGAAAGTAATCCTCCTGATGTCTTGGGAAAGATCTTCAGGTCTGACATGGGGATCTGAGCATGCGCAATACACTTCCAAGTGTGTGACCCTAACCTCCCAAGGTATTTCCCACTGCCCCTGCTGGTTACAGGGCTCAGGCTTCTCCTGGTTCTTTCCTTCTTTTTAAAGTCTATTGAAAAAAATATCATGGGTACATTTTAGGTACACATAATGATAATATTCATCATAGGGAATTTGTAGCTGCATATATCTTGCTTCTTCTTTTTCCCATTCCATTCCCTTCCCTTCAACCCCTCTTCCCCTCATTTACAAGAGCTTTGTTTCCATTTTTTCCTTCTATTTTCACTTTTTTCTTGTCCCTTCCTTCCTCCCCCCATCCTGGGGCCAGGGATTTAGCTCAGTGGTTCTGCCGCCTGCCTCACAAGGGCAAGGACCCGAGTTCGATCCCCGGTACCAAAAAAAAAAAAA